ACCTGCACGATTGTCGAGTCTCGTTGTCTTCCCGCACATTCTCTTGTGGAATTCTTTCACCGGTGCGCGTGAGACGCTCACTCTGTTGAGATACAGGCACATTGAGTTCTGAATCTCATCAATTGGTCTCTCCAACTATTTCACATATACTCGAGAGCGATATGCCCAGAGCTACAGTATGCGGGCTACGCAAAGCATCATTCAACGCCAATCCCAACAACTAGATACAATAGAGAATCAACCAATCTATCTATCCCGTCATTAATCTCCTACTGCAAGCCAGGACACCAAAACCTTCCATGATCCTAGTCTGGAATGCCTGGAATCACAAATGTGATAGATGACACACATTAGCTTCGTCCACGGATCGATAAACACTAGCATACTCCATAGATCGCCCACTTTCGCCAATCGCCACAAAGACAGCTCGTACTATGTATCTATCTCTTCAGGGATCTACCTAGATTAGCGTACTTCCATGTCCAAAGCCACTGAATATCCATAACCCATTTCCCGGATCACCGACTCGAAAGTGAAACAAACTACTGTAAGTCATAGGCCGCAATATGACTACTAGCAATAAGCAAAAATTGCGGAGTAAATTCACAAAACCCGACCTGGGATGGAGAACACAGACCTCTAGTAATCTATTGGTGGGATCGTGGTTCATGAGATGGATGCCTCACAAACTCATTTCGGCCGGCACACGACTCGCCTCACGAGTCGTGTGTCGTGATATATCACTTTCTGGCAATATACATCAACACTACAGCATCTTTAAACTCTGAGCAGGTGATAGAGTCTGTGGCCACGAGAAGACGAGAGTTGCCGTCTGCCGCACGCTAACATGTTCGCATGATCCATGCGAACGGGATATCCGGCAATCAAAAATATACACAGGAGATCTGTCATCTGAATTCATGTGGCAACTCAGTGCCGGACTGCAACTTCGATTGCAATTACAAGGTAAGAGTAACTCCGTAGGGAGCAGTTTTTCAAGTCATGGTATTTCTGTCAGTAGATCTAGCTCTGGCTAGTCCCGTAGTAAGTCTAATCATAAGAATATGCATACAGATCAAGCATACGTCTGGCTCATTTACACGATTGAAATCACAATCACAGCGCACCGAGCTCCTTCAGCTTGCCGATCAGACCGTCAACATCCTCCACCTTACCGCCGCCCTGGCGCGCAGGAGGTTCTGTTCATAGTCAGCATCCGCGGTGCGTTACAACAAGAAGAGAAAAACCTACCAGTAACCTTGATCGTCTTCAACCGCCGCTTATCTTCAACCCCGAAATCCTCGAGCTTCTTCTTCTCAAGCGGCTTCTTCTTCGCCTTCATGATGTTCGGCAGGCTGGCATACCGAGGCTCATTCAACCGCAGATCCGTCGTAATAACCAGAGGCAGCTGAGCACGCAGCGTCTCAACACCCCCATCCACCTCGTGAGTCACCTCCACCGTCCCCTTCTCGTCCTTGATCTCGACCTTGCTCGCCTGCGTCGCCTGCGGCCACCCCAGCAGACCCGCCAGCATCTGGCCCGTCTGCCCCTGGTCACCGTCAATCGCCTGCTTCCCCAGAAGCACCAGGTTGATGTTCTCCTGCTTCACCACCGCCTGCAGCAACTTCGCCACGGTCAGCGGCTCCATACCCCCGTCGTTGCTGTCGGGGACCTCGACGTGGAAGGCCCGGTCCGCGCCCATGGCCATAGCTGTCCGGAGCGTATCGACACACTTGGCTCCGCCAGCGGAGAGCGCGAGGATGTTTTCGACTTTCAGGGGGCCTTTGCGCTCGCGGAGGCGGACGGCCTCCTCGATTGAGAGCTCATCGAAGGGGTTGAGGGAGTGCTTGACGCCGGCGGTTTCGACGCCGGTCTGGGCCTTGTTGATTCGGGGTTTGATCTTTCGAGTGTTGTTAGAATCACCTCAGAATTACTTCTGCTGATAAATAATCCTCGTAGGTCATGGTATAGAGTCATTGTTTCAGCTCCGGCCGTAGCCTCGGAGCTCTGACTCTTGACCGAGAACGGAGTACGCCAGGGAAAATGCAACTCACCGCGTAGTCGATCACCCTCTTCACGGGTACTAGAATCCGCAATCCGCTCATTGTGAATCTGAAAAGAGAACTACCACTCAATGGTGTGAAATAAAAGACCTGGTAATTGAAGAAGGGAAGTAGAAATGCAAGTCGGAAGAGACTCAGTCCCAAGGCAGTCCGAGGCCAATCGGGCGCAGGTGACTTAGGCGGAGAAGGGCGAAATAGTGCAGAAAATATCCCCATGGCCGATGCGGCCCGAGAAGTCCCAACCGCAGCATCATCGCCCGCAGACCCCCTCCGCCTCCAACCGAGGTTACTACGCCGGACTCCTGGACAATGACAATGTTGGTGTAAGAAATGGCTATTTGCGGAGTAACAGGGCATTCGAACTGACTACTGATGTTGATCAGAAAGGGATAATGATGATCTTGATGTTGCCGATACCAGTGTCTGGTCTCAATGCGTTTCATTAATCTATGTATATTTTTTTTGGAGAGTATATATTCAAAGACCACCATATCACCAGCAGCATGTGACAACCCATGACACTAGGCCTACCAAGCTACCAAGTCTCTTGTTTATACCGCCCACTCTTCTCCATACCTATCAGATACTCCTCCGCTCCGCGTCGGGCGAGCTGTGGTCCATCAGCTTGCCCACCATGCTCAAATGCTTCAATGAGCGCCTCCCTGACTGCCTGCGGCATCCTCCCGGATGAACCACATATATACACCGAGCCACTCATGTCGTGCAGCAGCCGGAAAAACAGCCCGAAATTGCGTCGTATGATATCCTGGACATAAATCTTATGTCGCTGATCTCGTGAAAATGCAGTGAAGACCTGCAAGTCGATCAAGTCACTCAGTTCTTGCCACTCTTTCTCGAAGAAGAAGTCTGCGGCACGATTGCGACCACCGTAGAGAAGAATCGTAGGCCCGATGGGGGGCCTGGCATCCGGATGCTCTTCTAGGTACGCTTTCACGAAAGCAGCTTTCTCCCAGAGCATTGAGCGCAAGGGCGCCACGCCGGTACCAGGTCCGATAAGGACAGTCGGGCCAACCAATTGGTTGACGGATGAGCTGAGTCCTCCACGCTGCAGTTGGACTTTGAGGGTACTGCCTGGCCGCAGTACAGACAGGTATCTTGTGCACACTCCTTCTCGGATCCGCTTGATCACCGTTTGATACTTTACAATGGCGATCAGTAGCTCGAATTTCGCTCCCCCATCTGATGTCCTCTTCAATTCGCCGCCGCTGGCAATGCTGAACTGCCTCCCTCGAAAGACAGGGAAGACCGACGTCACATGCTGCCATGGGATCTTGACTGAATGAAACTCATGCAAAACCTCCAGGATGCTTCGCCTTGGCCGGGAGGTGTAGTCCCAAAACTCATCCAAGTACTCGGGATTCGTAAACTCGAGGAGTCGTTCCTTGTGCATCTCGTTGCTAGTGTAGTGTGCGATGGCCGAAAAGAACGACCGTCGAGGAATCGCTCTGATGTCGATGTAGTCCATCAGGAGCGCTCGCAGCGTCAACTTGGGATACTTTCCGAGACCAGGGATGGGCGGAGCATGCAACTCCCCTGCAGCTTGGAGCTTTTGGCCAGGAGCCAGCGATACCAACTTGTCAGCCATTTCTCCCCAGCCCATCATGTCAATCAGTGCTTGGACATCTTCATCAAAATTCTTCGGCGTGATACAGACCATGTCGCCAGGAGCATAGGTGACCGCGTCGGGGACTGTAAGCGATATCTGGCGCACATCCTGCCAATGGGTGCGTGCTGTGACCCGTCTATTTTCAACGAGGGTCGCTGTCAATGCATCGGGGATCGGTCTCACGTCGTGATCCAGCCGAGTCAACCCCGGATACTCGTCAGACAGAGTCTGTTCGCTCGCTAAAGTCTTCTCCGTGAGCTTTTCACTTGTTGTGGCCTGTTCTTGCAATCTCAGAACCCATTTAGGCGGGAGTTGCACGTCATCCGGTATCGGATGCAGCCCTTCAGGAAGCGGATACTTGTCCAGCAAGTGGCTACGAAAGTCCGTAATCCAAGGAATGAATGTGCCTTCAAGTCTAGAATTCGATCAGCCATTGTAGAGCAATCCAGGCAAATTCAAAACTCACCCTTCTGGATGTTGCGCATTAGCCTCGCCACGGGGATATATCTCATTAGCCCCGAGCTGGAGTAGACGCTTGTGCAACTTCCGCGCAGCCCAATTAAACCTGCTCGAGTCAGACACTGCTTTCATACCAACATCTACATAGCCACTCACTTGGGATATGAACTATCGCCTAACCCGAATGAAACATAATTGACCCCGCTCAGGAAAGTAGGCGGCAGCTTCTTCAAAAGCAACGATCTCCAAAACGACCTGGCATTCGCAGGAATTTCACCCTGGCCCGTCGTCGACACAACAAATACCGTAAAAGTAAACGACTTGAGCAACTCCTGCGGCAGGGTTGTAAGCAAGGTACAAGGTCCACCAGAAGCCAGGGGAATAGCCTAAACACGCACAGCCTTCACAGAGTTCATTTCCGCGACATGAGTCACGAAATGTAGGCGCTCGGCCAGCGCTCCAAGCTCTTCGGCTACTTCTTGCGCGTTGCCTGTTTCCGAACCATATAGGACAAGAGCCGTCCTCGTGGGGGCCCCCTGGGCCTGGCTCTCACTCATCCTGGGATATAAATCATACAATTGCTGCTTGCCGCGGGGCAGATTATCGCCATATCTGCCCCCTCTACCTTATCTATCTCTGCCGTTGGAGGCCTTAGGCCGAAGTTCGGAATGACATCATCTCAAGGCTCTTTTGGCCTGAGGCAGCAACTTTAGATGCCTGCCATGTACTCCAGTCCATACAGTAATAGAGACGTGATGTTAATATTTTTTTTGGTTAACATATAGACAGGCCTGCCTCGGGGCTATTTCGCTGGTGGCTTAGTCTTAGAACCTTAGTCTTACTGGTAACGCCGTATATCTTATGACAATTTTAAGCAGCCTGCCATACGCTTGACCATGCGCTGCTCCCTAGAATATAGAAACTAAACAAGATGGGGTATCTCAACAATTGTTCCTCAGCCTCAGTAGGTGTCTTCATCTCCACCTCCGCCTCCGCCGTCTGCGAATCCGTCATCTCCGTATTCATCGTCGCCAGCATCGAAGTACTGTTCCGCATTGTAGTCACCGCCCATTTCATCATCATCATCCTCAAAGTCGTTGTCGACGATCTCTTCCTCCTGATCCTCATCCGGGTCCAACACATCCACCTCTTCTTCCCGCTCTTCTCGCTCATCCCGCTCAGCGTCCTCATCTTCGTCGACGCCCCTTCTACGCTTGGTCTCCTCGACATCCTGTTCTTCTTCCTCATCCTCAAACCCCCTTTTCACTCCGATGCGAGGTCCCTGTGGCACGTATCCATCCATTGCGACCGAGGGATTGAAGTTCGGCTGGATCGTCTTCCACAGCTGGCGAGGGAAGAATTTCATAACTGCAGCCAGTCAATTAGCCACCCGTCAGCGGTTATCCCAACCCCAAATATCCCGCTGGCACAAAACTCACCATACGGACGTCCTTTCAACTCCGGCCGGTCCCGCTTCTGCTTCTGGTACTTGCCCGAATACGTAGGCATTCCGTGGAAAGGGTCAAAGTGCGCACGAGTAGCCTCATCTTTTCTTGCTGTGACTGAGGTCGATTGGAGGACGGAGTAGTAGGGCCCGTCATGGAAGCGATCCCGCAAAGCTCGGTAGAAATCGACCTGTTTCTGTTCGCGAGGGTTCAAAAGTCTCGCGCGGGGAACATTATATCTCTGCACGCATTGTGTAAGTAACCCTATCCTTCTGCCAGAGAGAGTTGTCGGAGGATCGCTGCAACATACGGGAAAAAGAGGCGTAGGCGCTGTGTCTGCTTCCCCGCCAGGATCGGCCTCCCAGGTAAATTCTGCACCGGGGAGCTTCCTGCCTTTCTTTGCTCCAAATCGAGACATGTTGGCTGGACGGACGGCGGAACGAATAGAGGGCCAGAGCTTCTGGAGCAATCACCTATTACTCAGTCCGCCATTTACTAAAGAGCCCGTCCGAGTAAAAATATAGTGTCCCGCCGATGACCAGTTGTGGCCTCGAGTTTGATGACAGCAACGACGAAAAAAAGTTCCGGCGGAACTCCGCCTCACCGCCTTTGCTCCACTTCTCCATTTGGAAACCAGGGCATCGGATATGAACCCTACAGATCGTGATGGATACTGAGGCTAACAAGTACGCTGCGTAAATATCTCTAGCTACGTTTGCCTGAAAACAATAGAAAGCATCATTAGTTTGTAATCTATCTGCACATTTTGAGCTCCATATCTGCGTAGAGTCGCGGCGCTCCCAAGCACAGACTCTCACAGCCCTACAGTCGCAACGCGAGCGGTATTTTGCGCGACAGGTCCCCATGGACCTTCGCTGACTCGTTGTCTTAATGTACGGACAATATCCTCGAAACCTGTTACTTGGCCGCCCGTCTCCTTCAAATGGTTATACAAGGCAACAAGGACCTCGTATTTCGCGGTGGCAACTTTCCACACAATGTTCTGAGTGTCTCCTGCTCCACCTGCAACAAACTCCGCATAGGAGCGCGGTGGCTTGAACAAATAAGGCAGCAGTATGGTCAAGGCTGGAGGTGTGAGGATAGCCCAGGCACCCGAGGACGGAAGCAATCCTTGAGTAGCTGGAGATAAGGTGCCTAGTGCCTCTTCTGAAGGCAGCTGATACCGGGAAGTATCAGGGACGGGTGATATGACCTCTCCCAACAGCACTTGCCAGTTAGCTGTGATAACAGCCTTCATGAAAGATATAGCTGCTAAAGAAACATCCTTCATCGCCAAGATGTCAGCTGCAGCTACGATATCTGTCCAGAAGTTCGGATGCTCATTCAGATACATGAAATAGAGGACACGGGCCGCTGCAGCTTCTTTATGCCAGTCAGTGGGCGTCTGACCAGAAGTATTGAGCTCCATCGAATCGCTCAAGTCGAGCTTCTGTGGCCCGTGGAGTATTTTGGCCAAAGCATCCAATGCCTCTCGGCAGGGGGGACTTGTCGGAACAGCCAAAAGAGGGTTGACGCCGTGCTTAGAGGCCTCGACGAGTAACACACGGGGTAAGGAGGAAAGGATGACAAGTTGACCAGCGGGGGCTTGCCCGTGCGCCCATTGAGAGGACGAGATACCGAGCGAGTCGGAGATCCGTGAGATGATCTTGTCCAGCAGGCTACTTGGATTCTGCAGCAAGTGATTTGGATATAGCTCCGCATACTGTGCAATGTAAGCCATGATGGGGCCACGCATGTATTGCAAATCCACAGTATCCAATTTCGTCTCATCCAGGTATAACTCCAGTACGCTGGCATGCAGACCATGAGCGATCAGAAAATCAAGGGCCGGCGAGGAGAAAGTCGACGCAGACTGCACATAGACTCTAGCTCGCAGACCAGGAGCTTCAGTGTCAAGTAGGTCCCGGAAGAAGCTCAGTAAGGTCATGTGCATCAAGAAATCGCTCTTGTCGACCATCCGACAAGCTGCAAAATGCAGAATGCTAGAGGCATCGTACTTAGCTTCAATCTCCCGGATCTGAGAACTCGAGATTAAGTCCCATCGTAGATGGCCTGCCTTGACGATGAAACCCATAAGCCTTCCCTGGGAGACAGTCCTCTCGCGTTGCGGGCGGGCGCTTGGTTCATTGTTCGTGAGACTGCACAGGGAGAAGAGGCGCCCATAGACATTCTTGTCAGTGAAGACTCGTCTCCAGAATAGACCTTGACCTCCTGTGCTATCTTCAGCCTCATGGGTATGTGTTTCGTTTTCCAGCGGACTGGCTAAATCAATCTCCAGTAGAGCCCAGAGAGCGTCAAAAGCAGCCTGAGCGACGGCTGTCGAAGTAGTCGTAAGCCAGAGTTCGACGAGCGAGGCAACCAATTCAGGATCACCAGCAACTATCGCAGCATCACTGGGAACTCTTCCTGCCTTTCTCAGGAGAGCTAGAGCCAGCAGGTTGACGGATGGCGACGGTGCTTTGAAACCGGCGATAAAGTCAATAGGAGGCTCAACGGAGCGGATATCAGTGAAGGAGAAGTAGGTTGTAGCCTTGATACCAAGAGTAGTAATCGGCGTGGGATCTTCCTGGAGGACCGGAAGGAGCTGTGAGATTAGTGTCAGAAGGGTGCCAGGAACCCTACGATCTGTAGTCTCCGTAAGCTCCAGTTTTAGCTTGTCGATGAGAGAAATGTCCAAAGGAGTCGAAGGATCAGCCAGGACATGCTGCAGGTGAGCTTTGACTTCGTCGTACGATGACGGAACAGCCATTTCGTCCGTAATAGAGTATCCTAACCGCTTGTCAAGCTGCCGGGACACTTTGGAAAGATAAAGCGGGACTTTGTAGATGCTCTGGACAACAGCGGGGAAGCTCACAACGGCGTTGCAAACAGCGCAAACACCAACCGTAGCTCCAATCAGCTTGGGCAGTTGGCAGTTAACATCGCCTTTGAATGATGATGATACCAAAAGACTCTTTCTAATTGTCCTGCTAATATTCTACTTTGCGCAGCTTCGGAGTCATGGCTGAAACTACTGGCTCTCTAGTCTCCCAGAAATCGTCCGATTCAGGGCTTCATCTTCAACTACATCCGCTGGTTCTCCTCACCATCTCAGACCACATCACCCGTCATGCCGCGCGATTACAACAAGGACCGATCATCGGAGCTCTTTTGGGACAGCAGAACGGACGTGTGATTACATTAGAGCACGCATTTGAATGTATCGTGACCGAAGGAGCAAACGGCGAACTGCAGCTTCTCCACGACTGGTTCGTCGAACGAATCAAGCAATGTAAGTGCGGAGCTTATACTCAAGACCTGCATCAGTTCTAGCTGACTATGCTCCCTACAATAGTCAAGGATGTACACAAGTCCCCTGCCCTCGACTTCGTAGGCTGGTGGTCAACAGCCTCGCCTTCTGGTCCGGACGCATCCCACTTGCCGATCCATCGCCAGATCCTCCAGAGTTACAACGAGTCTGCTGTATTCCTCGCATTCCACCCATCGCAGGTGCAAGATGCATCCAGGAACGGCGCCAAGCTCCCCCTGACCATCTACGAAAGCGTATATGAAGGTGAAAATGCGACGGAGAACGGCAAGGCGATGCAAATAGACGGCGAGGAGCAGTCGCTCTCCATTCGATTCCGCCAACTGCCGTTCTCTGTCGAAACGGGAGAAGCCGAGATGATTGGCATAGACACGGTTGCCAGAAGCGCAAGGACAGCAGCAGCTCTGCAACCGTCTGGTTCGAGCTTGGGTGCTGCCACGCAACAGGACGCCCAGACTAGCCAGAAAACCGAGGCTGGTCAGGCCGAGCCGTCGCCAGACACTGTGGTACTCTCTCACGAAGAGGAAGAACGTAAGATCATCATACTTTGATTCTCTGGGACTTACCAGCTAATTCAGCGCCGCAGTAATGGCCAGTCTTAACACCCGCCTCAACGCCATCCGCACGCTAGAGTCTCGAATCTCCTTGATCAAATCCTATCTTGCCAGTGTATCGCACTCATCCGAAGACCAATCCGCCGGAACCACAAAGCCACCCCTCTCGCACCCAATTCTCCGGAATATCAACTCCCTCTTATCGCATCTATCTCTCCTGACGCCGGAACCGGGGAGCGCCTTCGCGGCGGAGAGCCTCGCCCAGCGAAACGACGTCCTCCTGGTCTCCTTGCTGGGACAGCTGGGTAATAGCATCAAGGACATGCGCGAACTAGGCCGCAAGACTGCTATCATGAACAACATCAGACAGAGCAATGCGTCGCGGAAGACTCAGTTGGCTATGCAGAGTCGGCTTGAAGACGAGTTTCTTTCGCGAGAGGGGATAGCACTTAAATAGTGTGGTTTTGCCCAGCTAAATGCACGTGATGACCTGCGCTTTCTTAGTGACTGCTCGATCTTTTATGGTTCATGGTGGCGTTTGGCGTTTCGCGTTTCGCTCGTAGAAGCAAGCATTTATAACGAGGGATTAGATAGTGAATCAAGACATGAGCCAAGGTAGCTTGAGCTGGAATACCACTCTCATTGCGAAGGAAATGATTTGTATAGTAATTGCATACGCACCGGCAAGCGTACTAATATATCAACTGCTATTGTACAAAGAAACTCATCCAATGCAATCCCGCGTTTCATGAGAAGTGAATCATAACAAAATGCAGGCGAGATTTGCTGGTCCTGGCTCCCAGCATCTCGAAGTCATGCACAAAGCAAAGAAGGGGAAATTGAAACCAGATCAGAGTAGAAGAAAACTGCCACAAATGGAATACGACAGAAGGGTATATCAACAAAAACAGAAGAAGAAGGCAAAAGGGATGCCTGAAGAACAAGCCAGCTGGTTCGTAGCATGAAGGAAGGGAAACGAAGGGCGGAACATCATCATTCCTGGGGTCGAGGTGAACTGCAACTCAGGCTCATTACTGTTGACGATCGTCTATCGCCGGCTGTGCTCATTGTCAAAGTGGGCAGGCGGAGGCTGGTACGGATCAGGCATAGGTATAGGCGGTTGCTCTTGCAGGTAATTCTGATCGTACGGATGATGACCGGGAGCTCCCTGCTGAGATTGGGGGATATTGGTGCCAGCGTGTAGATGGAGGTCGTCAATGTCCGGTACCTCGTAAGGGTTGTTGTGGTGTTGCTCATAAGGAGAATATGGTTGCGGAGAATGAGATGGTGTAGGTTCCAGCAAGGACGTGCTACTCAGCCGCTCATGCTCATAGTCATATGGTGGGGGTGCCAGGTCGCCGGTCGACTGCAATGTCGGATTTGGCTGCGCGTGCGAGAGAAGAACTTGGCCTTCATCATCGGGAGATGTCCCGTATGGCGCCGGTCTACTGCCAGCCATCGTGGCGCCTGCGCCTTGGTAGGCTGTAACATCTGTCCGGGAATCATTGCTGGTCGTAGCGAGACCGATGCTCTGAATCTGATAGCTGGGATCCAGCGTTCGCTTCTTACGCCCCACAAAGAGCCAGCGTATGCTGCGGCCAACTGCCTTGGCTAAATCCAGCGGATTGACCGAGTCAAGGAGACCTTTCATACCCCAGCGACCACCCTGATAAGTCGCTTTGCCGTTGCCATAGAAGTCAGTCACCTCATCGGCGTGTGCGTTGGCGAGAGAGTACGGCCTCCACGGGAATGCCCACAGATGCAGAATGGAAAAGATCGCCATCTCAATGCAGATGAGTAGGTTGGGGAGTCCAACTTTGAGATCCTGTTGCGCTATTATACCACTCGGCTTGATAGCTCCGGAGGAAGAGAGAAAACTGATCAAGGTCTGAACCGAGCCTCCGAGTCAGCATAGTTCACGAATTGGAAAGAAAGGGCTCAACTCACAGACTGCCAGAACGAAAGGAAAATCACCAGCTTGATAGAGACGATTTTCAGGAGTGGCGAATACTGGTTAATATCATTCTTGATCTGGTAATAGAATTGGATCAAACAGTACATTGCAATCGAAACAGCAACACACTCCACTGCCATACACTGCTGATCGTCAGAACACGGCTTGAGATAATCGCATAATCTAGACATACCCATATGTGCGAAAACGCGGGATTCAAACTCTCCTCGCAATACACATCAAAGTGCTGTGTGATAACCGCAACGATGGTCATCAACACCCGCAAAAGGCAGTATTGGAAGACTCCTACCCAGATAACCTAGCAGCATAGCAATCTTAGCGTCGTCTTCCATGTAGCATGCGAAACCAGCTTACATTAAACCATGTGAGCCCGCTCCTGGGTACTCTCCACATCCCTTCCTGCCCGCCGCAGCATTTCTGAAGCCAGGGTATGGGCCAGATCCATTGCTTCGGTGTGATTCCGCGAAAATATTCCTTCTGGTTGTGGAGGTCCGGCGCAACGTAGTGGCAGAGTAAGGCGAAAAAAGCGGCAATCGTGAACGCTTCGTAGCAGTTGCCGATCAGTTCATAGTAGACCGCATTTTTGTAGAAGTAGGTGCTCAGCCAAGCGACGAGGGAGTAGATGGGGATCATCCATAAGATTCGAATAATACTAGGCAAGCAAGCACCAGACGTTAGTCCTAAGCGCGTGTAGAGGGGTAAGCAGAAGTGGGGGGCGGAAATCATACTGTCGCTGCTCTATCGGTTTGCTATAATGTGTCGCATGGCTCATAATCAAGTAGAACGAAATGGCGGCGGCGAAGAGAGCGAAAGCGCCCCCAACAATGAGGCATAACTGATGAAAAGTGAGACCGCCATCCCATAAGTCGACTTCGGTGACTGTCAATATTCATTCTCCGGTTAGCCAGCACTCGTATTATAACAACACGGGAGAGGCGTACTCGTTGAATCCTCCAACGTTGTATTACAAACCGGCCACCCCATGGTCGCGTCAGTCAGAACAAAGAGTTATTAACGAGAGTGCTTCAAAGGTGAAAAAAAGAAAGTGGAAAGAGAAGAAAGATATCACAAATCTCCGATCCGAGGGCCAAAAAGTTATTGATTGTACAGCGTATGGATCTCTATCTTATCCGCCAAGTCGGCCTAGTCCCGGCGCGGCAGATCAACAACCCCTGGAACCAGTACACAAGGGCGAATATTTCTCGGCAAGGTCGCGGGCGACGACGACAATACTTGGCAATACGTCTAATTCAGGGGTGATGAAGACTGGCGATGGAGGGAGAGGTCCGGTATATTCAGTAGAGCAGTGAAAAGAGTTATGAGCTCCTGGACAGACAAGGAAGAACAGGTATATTATCCATGTGAAAGAAACTGCAAGCGCCTTGATCAAACCCAGGATTTAAGAGGAATAGAAAGAAAAATCTCAAAGTTTTGCGTATGATTTGTCGATTATTATTACTGATTCATGGTAGCAGCGCGATCGCATACACGGTACAGCCACAAAGGTCCGCTAATAATAACAATGGAATGGAGACACATGGATCCTCATGGGGACTGCGCCTCAGGCACCAGAATATTGAAACACCACGGTATCCGTAGATTAGGTACCTCGTACACTGGAGGAGCGCGTTGCTGCCTCAGGACGAAGCTTCCTTCGTACTCGTAGTAGTCTAACCGTTAATGGCCAAGCTTTGGTCAAGCCTTTCCAAGCATAAATCTGCTGACTAAGCACATAGAGCGTTGATTGGTAACTGGCAGCATAAGACCATTACAGTGCCAGATCATGGGCAGGGATTCAAGGGATCTTCTCGTTATCGGAACAGGCTCTGCTGAGGCTAGAAAGCTTGTTTTGCATTGTGATAGATCTTCATGCCTAATATACACTTGTGCGATCGTCCATCTCGTTAAGAAGGAAACAAATCAGAGAAATCAAAGTTGCGTCCCGAGCCCAACGAAGTGGCACTTTTGCGGCGAGGTAGAGGGTAGATAATACAGTATTTTGTCTTTCAGTCTTACAGCTGTCAAAGATCTCTGGTCGTTAGTCACGGCCTCGTCTGGCATCTCTCCATGAGTCCGCCATGCCGCCTCCACGACCCCGGCCACGGCGCCGTCCGTTGCCACGGCCTCCATACTCCGGTCCATTGTCAACGAAGAAGTCACCGTCTTCAAAAGTGATTCGCCTATTCTCATCGCCACCACGCCGCGGAAACGATCCCTTCCGCAGCATGTCGTCGAACCGATCCAGACGTCGGTCGGCCACTTCGCGAGGGACACGGAGGTAGTAGAGCTTTGGTTTAGTCGTAGTGGATTCAAAGAGATCATCCAGTGGCTTGAATCCTTGCCCTGGTCTAGGACGAGGCTCTGGGGGAGGAGGGCCGCTAGGACGTCTGTCCTTATTGCCCATGCTTGCTCTGGGACCCAAGGGAGGGGGCGAGAGAAGTCAGTCGAGGCTCGACCGGGAGCTTGACGCGAAGCAACACCCTTGGGATCCACTTCCTGCAGAACAGCCTCGACACCATCGTCGGTGCGATCATACCGGACTTCCCAACGAGGCGGGGGACCACGGCGCCCGCGCGATTCTTCCTCCCTTGCGACCCATTGCTGCAGCTTTTGCTCGGGAATGAAATCAACAAACAAAGCTTTTCTGTTGCTTTCGTTGGGCCAGACAACACCATGTAAGGAGGTTCGGGCTCTCGAGGCAGCCGATATATTCGCGAACTTTACAAAACAGTGCGTTTTGATAGGATCCAAGTAAAAGTCAACGATCACGTCAGGATCGGGTGATGAGCCCGGGGCCGTTGCGATGCTGATAAGATGGTTTTTGAGTGTGGCAGGTTGAAGAGGGCGCATCAGTCCATCGACATACAACGCTTCGGTCGCGACATGTAGCGCGGGTTCGACCTCGGCATCTTCCATTTCCGTATCTGCTGGAGGTGATGGGGGGCGAATCTGCTCTCTGTCTGCTGGTGCAAAAAGGTCTTTGAAACGAGCATCTTGCTTGATAGGCGCAGTTCCCTTTGTCCGCACATCATCACTTATCGATACACGGCGGGTCGCATAAGCGTTTCGTTCATCTCCATTTTGGTTATGGGCCCGTTCGTTCTCTTCAGGGACGGCGGCGGCCTTCTTTCCAGGACTCTCTTCCACATCCATAACGTCACGATCTTCAGGAAGTAGAACTCGGGGCGACACCTCCTGTGCCTTGGCCCTTTTGCTTGCAACCGCCTCCGTTGTTGGGATGGGAGTTTGACTGCGGCGTTTTCGCTTCCGAGTGTCTTCGATCATCTCCTCCACGGGGAGGGGCGTTGACAGCCCGGTAGTCTCTGCCGATACTTGAGTCGCAGTCTTCTCAGCAGAATCTAGTTCTTTAGAGTCCGGTCCTGCAGTAGTAGGCTGCACCGGTTCTGCGCTTCCGGGAGCCTGCTCGACCGGTTTCACAGGGTGCTCAGCTTCCGGCTGCGGTGGCGCAAGTGAAGGCGCACTGCTTTCACCGCCAGCTCCAGCATCTGCAGCCTGATCAAATTCAGATTCCTTGCTAGAAGTTTCAGGTTGTGTCTGCTGTAACGACTCCTCCGCCTGCTCCTCCGCTTTTGTATCAGTCGTCGATCCTTCCTCTCGAGGCTCGGGCTTCGGTTGCTCCGTTTGTACATCCGATTGCTGCACTTTCTGTTCCTTTTCAGGCAATCGTTTCCCTTCGCCGCCCTCCTTGGACTCTTTCGACTCCGCCGCTGTCCCCTGCGGCTTTGGCTCTTCTGGATGAGGAATGACGGCTTCGGGTTCTTGCGCAGGCTGTTCAGGCGATCGCTTTACTTCATTGTCTTCTTTGGGCTCTTCGGACTCCGGCGCTGTCACCTGCGGCTTGGGCTCTTCCGGTTGAGAAACGTCGGCCTCGGGTTCCTGCGCAGGCTGTTCAGGCGTTGCCTGCTTGATATTTTCAGGCGCATCTTGAGATTTTGCCGATTCGCCATTCGGCGCTCCACCCTCTTGCTTGCCATCTGCTTCCAGAAGCCTGTCGATGAAATTTTGTTTGACCCTCAGACCAGTCTGCGGAATACCGCGCCGCTTCAGCTCCGCTTTCAGATCAGTCACTTTCCAACTCCGATAATCAGTCATTGTGAGGGAGTAGCGCGCGTTCGCAGGATAAGAGCATGTATAATTTATTCGAATTTTCTGTGTGAGGTTGAGTTAGGTAGTGGTTGTCATGACTGGGTGTTGCTCGACAAGATGCGATTCCTTGCAGCATAGGGTAGCTCCAAGTGTTGGTCGTTGGAAGCAGTAGGTGGAATGATGTAGGCGCTAGACTGCTTACGTACTAGTGCTGGCAGCAGGTTTACCCAGGATGGATAGACTCGACAGTGAGTTGCCAGAGTAGGTTAGTCAGATTCCCTCTCAATAAACAATCACCGAGTCCATATTATTATTCAGAGCAGCTTGATAGCCCTTGAATACCATTATTGACAATAAGGTATTGTGGTGTGGTTCCACTAACAACAAATTTTTCGAAATAGCGTGGCAGTCGAAATCATTCACTAAGATATATACCCCTGAGAAGTAGATCTCTCTATCCACAATAACCCAACACCGCATCAGCTTTTTCTTTAAATGCCTTCATTGCAGCGCGATACAACTCCGGTCCAACACTGATCCGGGCGACCCCGATCTCTCTGAGCTCTGGTACCGTCAAGGATCCCTCCTGTAAGTTCATCTTGACATTCAGTCTTCCATCAAAAGCTTCAACCAGCCTCTGGATCTCCTCCTTGGACACCCCTCCCCTCGCAGATCCACCCCAGACGAAAACTGTACAAGCCCCAGCCCCCAGGTATGCTCTTCCCCTTTCGATTGCTTCGTCGACTGATCCTCCATTTTGCCCATCGTGCTTGAGAAGAACATCTGTCCGCGCATTGATCGCGAAATCAGGCACCCCTGCTTCCCTCGCAGCCTGCATGGCAAGCTGAATCCGCTCCACAGCCTGTGACATCGGCCGCAGTCGATTGTTGGCATTATCAAAGTCTTCGAGGTTGCAGCCGACTGCTCCCAGAGCGATGACTTCTCGGATCGTAGCGGCTACATCTTCATAGCCGTCTTGAACATCCACTGTCAACGGGATGCGTGGGAGGCCGTCACCGTTGGCCTTCAGAACAGCGGCAATCGAGCGCACAGCTGCTAGATTCTGTGACAGGGTCAACTTCTCGTCTGCGATGCCTTGAGAGGCGGCAACGGCGTAGCTGGCGGTAGCGATGGCCTTCGTCGAGGGATGCTCGGCAATAATTGAGGCGGTTGCGGCATCGTAGACGTTTGTAAGAACTAAGGGCTCTCCCGGAACATGGAGTTTGCGAAACTTGACTGCAAGGTCATTCTGCATGGTCTTGGATGTCATGTTGTGGATTATAGCGGTGAGGTTCTGACGTCTGTTGTCTTGTGCTCCTTTGAGATTGCGAATAAGATATATGATACAGAGCAAAATATACGAGCGACTACTTCATTGGAGAAGAAAATCTGTAGCTTTATATAGGAGGGGCTGATGACTCTTTTGATGCGGGGTCCTCGTATTCGATATAGATGGAGCTTACTACGGAGTATTGCTCTCAAATTGGCTAGTCAGAGGAAGGCGTTGTCACTGATGTTTCAGGCCTCGGTCGACAGATTCATTAGGCGATAATAACTGCTGCTTCATGGACGGAGTACGATTCAGCGAACTAGCCTTCGTATAAAAGCACCAGTGCCACGGCTCGCTTTCAACGCTTCCTGTGTCTTGCTGACAATGTACGTCATCCAGTGTTCTTCCCTTCTAGAAACTTTTTGTAGTTGTAAAAGAATTCGAAAGCAATCTGTTCTGCAATCAGGGGATAATGTCCCCATTAAGCACGGAAGCGTAGGCATATGCTTGAATGACCTCTGATTCGGTAAAGCAAACCATCTACCTCAAGATGTCTGGATGGGACTTCCTTACGGCTACCATTCCTGATCGTTAGAAAATAATAAGGACGAGCTGGTATCTGATATGACAGGTTCCTGGCGAAGTGACTCTTTGGCTAGTGATCACCATGATGCTGCACCTACGACAACTGGATAAGCAATCATGAGTCATCAAAAGGCGGTAGCATAGTGATGACAGAAAGCGTTTCACCGCCTTCATGTGAACATAGACATTCTGATAGGCTCAATATGACGAGATCTGCCCGCGGAGTCATAGTGGACCCCCGATTTTCGGAGTCAAGGACCCTAGGTACCTCTGTGCCTCTCCACTTTTGAACTTTTTTCTCGATGTCTTTTTTCTCGCAGTTCCATCAATTGTGAGGATAATTTCCTATTCTTTCAGTCACTCGTGCTTTTCCATTTCGTTGTTACATTCCCTGCATCAACAGGCCCATAATGGCGCCTGAAACCAACGGTGCTCCTGGAAAATTCCGTCAGTATCCCCCCTTTCACACTTTCGCCCTTGTCTGGTTGCCCCTCATTTTCATGACCTCTTGACGAACAGCTACTAAATCCCGTAGAGAGAGTTGCCTCCTTACCTGAAAACCCATATGCGAAACTCATCTCGGATCAGTCTATCGCTATTATCCCGTCATTTACTCTGGAATCGGGTGTGACCCTCTACAATGTTCCTGTCGCCTACACAACGCGGGGTGAAATGTCCCCCAACCGTGACAATGTGCTGGTAATCTGCCATGCTTTGAGCGGAAGTGCCGATGTGGCCGACTGGTGGGGACCTCTGCTAGGCGGACCCGGTCAAGCCTTTGATATATCGCGGTTTTTCGTCATCTGTTTGAACAGTCTGGGTAGTCCTTACGGAAGTGCAAGTGCCGTGACTTACAAGGATGGCAATCCCGAAAAAGGGCTGTATGGACCTGAGTTTCCTCTTACGACTGTCCGGGATGACGTGAGGTTAGTGGACTCAGACGTCAAAACTTGAGCGTGACGTTACTGACCAAAGCAGAATCCATAAGATGGTCCTGGACGACCTGGGCGTCCGGCAGATTGCAGCTGTCGTCGGCGGTTCCATGGGCGGCATGTTGACCCTTGAGTACGCCTATTTCGGCAAAGACTATGTCCGGGCGATTGTTCCAATTGCCACCTCTGCCCGCCACTCGGCATGGTGCATCAGCTGGGGTGAAGCTCAGCGGCAAAGCATCTACAGTGACCCCAAATATGAGGACGGTTATTATTCATTCGATGACCCTCCATCCACCGGTTTGGGAGCGGCACGCATGTCCGCTCTTCTGACCTACCGAAGCCGCAATTCTTTCGAGTCGCGATTTGGTAGAAACGTCCCCGACCCATCGAAGAGACAGAATATCAATGGCACCGAGCGTTTGCCGACTCCGCCGAACGAACACTGGGCCATTCATAATGATGGTCATAAGACCGGCATGTCTTCTCGGGCCCCAGCGAGCGCAACTCACCTGGGCCGCAGCAGCCCTCTGATGTCCAATATATGGATCCTCAGTTCTCTGGCACAAAGACCTTTAGCTCTCCCGTCAGTAACAGTGACAGAAAGCGGCCTCCCACCTACTTTTCAGCGCAATCCTATCTTCGATACCAGGGAGAGAAGTTCGTGAAACGATTCGACGCCAACTGCTACATTGCCATCACACGCAAGCTGGACACTCACGATGTATCACGATACCGGGCCAGTCCAGGATCGGAAGATCCCGTCAAGGAGGCACTATCGCAAATCGAGCAGCCAGCGCTGGTTCTTGGAATCGAGACCGATGGACTCTTTACTTTCGAAGAGCAGAAGGAGATCGCGGCTGGCATCCCCAACTCTCGACTCAAGCGAATTGAGAGCCCGGAAGGCCACGATGCATTCCTTTTGCAATTCGAGCAGGTCAACCGATACATCTTGGAATTCTTCCGAGAAGTCCTGCCGGACATCATGGCGAAGCCACCTGCCGACGGGGTAGTACCCGTTGACGGAGTTATCAAACTAACCAAGAGCAGTACTTTTGGAGAGGCGGAGGTCGAGGATATCACTGCATGGTAAGCGGAGACGCATATCGACCGAATCGACACTGGCGCATTTATTGCAGCCTCTTAACTATCCGCCATGATGCTCTGTTGGGGAGCAGGTGTCCCGGATCTCCTCTCGGTGAAGAGAAGGCGCTCCGAGGAAATTCGAGAGCTTGCTTCCGAGCACATCGGCGGCTTGGGGGAGTAGCGGTGCGGCTCTTATGATTTCAATTCTTAAGCCATCAGAGGGACGAGCATCCAACTGCCTCCTTCGTAACCTATTCAACAGGTAAGGCTGTAAAGAAGCATCCAACTGCTCTCCATCATACAAGCCCTGACAGGCCCGTTCTTCTGCACTTGCAGAGACCCAACTAAGGGTGGTGGGCGACCTTTCAGTACGCAGTATCATTTCAACATAGGCATAGACGTGCATACTACGATCTACAGTATATAGCGATTGCAATCATTGTTGTTTGGACAAGTTAAGACCGTTTGTAGATGCTCATAGGGTTCGAACTGCAGGACAAAGGCAATGAAGCATGATGCAATCAGCATAGCTTTACTGTAGATACCTGAGTAATACCTCCGTTCGGAAAATGGTCATGTGTGCGTTTGATGATAGATCACAGAGGAATATCATTTCATGCGGCACGGCCCAGAAGGCAACCAGTAGTCTAACCCTAATTATTCCATTCAATACTTCACAACCATAAACGACCCACGAAAGTATACTCAGTACTACGTACTCCCTTCCAATGTAGAGATGTGGAGCTATATCGATAACCCGCAACGGCTTTGGCCACCAATTGTGGCGGATTGCCATTGACAACACATGTCGTTGTCAGGGCGGATTGCTCATAAACCCCCCTTGATTCATCCCTTTCATCACTCCGCTGTCGATCCCTTGCCAACTCTAACGTTGGGTTACCGGTGGGCCCAGGCATCTTCAGTGATTCCCTTCTCTTGTAGACTGAGAGTGCAAAAGTACGTTGAGGAGAGGGAAGTAGACTGAGATCCGCTATGTCTGGAGGGAGCTGATGCAAGTAAACAGATGGTTGAACTTTGTACCCAGTGGTCTATATCTGACTAATAATATCGAATACTTTGTTGTTGGATAAGACTTCAATAGTCGTAGATCTCGGCTCAAAGGTCAAAACATCGTCTTAAACCCGGCAAATCAGTTGGGCAGTGCTTCCTTCCCTCCCTGCTGTGATTGATGTGCTGGGGACAGAAGGAGTTACACAGCTTGACCAGTGTGACCTTGATGGTTTGAGGCCATTACCAGCTGTCTATTTTTCTTCCAGCGTTTGTTGTTATGATCACTGTTCCGTAGTAGTAGTACTGCAGACAATTGACAAGTTTAAACCCTGCTTTTTCTTGCTTCTTCCCCACAAATTATGTGCAGTTGTTCATCTGCAACTGTCTTTTCTGTTTCTATCGATCTCTCTTTCCGCCTGCTTTGGCCTGGTTGCCTGAACCTTGCCTTGACGCCGTTTACTGTCATTCGCTTTCCACCTTCTCGCTCTTTCGATTCCTCAACTGCATCTCTCTGACGATCGTTCCATCACACTATTGACTCCCAGCACAGCTCATGATATCCAGCTGGCTGCCTCTCGTTTTCACTGTCCAGCCTCGGCACAAGCTGCCGAGCTCCACGTTCTTTCGTTCACTCCAATATTAGAGCGACATCGACCAAGCAACCCCCGCATACCAGTCCAACCGTCGCTCCATAACAACCCAATTGTGGCAACACTCGTTAGACTTCATTCGATCACAAACGCCACTGATCTACCAGAAGATCTTGCCATCTGCATAGTCCATAGGGCAAGCCGTGTGATTCGTTCTTCTCTCATTCCCACCACTGGGGCCACCCCCATTCACAGACCACATTTACAAGCATACTTAACGTTGGCCCGTGAATCATTAGAGCTGGTCTCCTTCTGAATTCATCGGTTTACTTAATTTCTTCTCTCTTTCCCTCAACGCTTGCCTACAATCTTTGAAATCACACTGGTGCGACTGGGCTATCAACAACATGGAGCCCAATCTTTCCAGAAGAAAGAGCATCAGGGCGAAGCCTTCACTTTCGCTTATATTTGGCTCACAGGTAAAAGCAGCTGCACCAAATCAGACGATCTGCAATATATGTTGACCCGATGCTAGCAGAATTCTGGCTCCGCTCGGCGAGAGGAGTGCTCGAGATATTACGACTTGAAACATACACCTATTATCTTCAGGCGCCGATCAGTGCTGATTGAGCGTCGCAAGATCTCTCCCCGGCTGGAGCGACAGATCCGCTGGTCTTGTGTCTTGCTTGCGAAGAGCATCGAGCAAGAAGAATTTGAACACGATATCAGACAAACACAGACCAGCCATGATGCCGCCCCTCCGCCACAGAAAGATGAGATCAACACTGCGGTTTCAGCTCCAGGAGAGCAGAGCCGATGCAACAACAACATCAGAAAGTATGACTCTGCTGTTGAGCTACATTCTCAGCAGGTTTCCAGCCTGACAAATGAACCTCCTTCGACTTCTCCGTTCCACGACCTGCATGAATTCAACTCTGGTTCCAATCACGATTCATCGACGAGCGTTAGCTCGCCTGCCACAACTTGTAGCGACATGACTTTCTGCACCGGACTGTCTAGTATTGAACCTTCTCTCAAGGGCCTTGCTCCAAATGTGCAAGATCAACCCTCAACCCCAGAAGAAATTTCTGTGGAATGCCCACCAGCACAGTCGGAAGAGGCCTTCCTGGCGGGCGAGTCCAGCCCTAATCTCTCCACCGACGAAGAGACCATCTCAGATGACATCGAAGTATTCCTCAACCCAGATAAGACCACACTCAATCTCGGGAGAACACCAAGCCTCTCACGACCGTGCACCAAAGCCTCCCAGCTCACCCACAAACCACGCTTCGAGGACTTCCCAGCTGTCCCGCAGAGCGATACCACCGAAGCACACGAGACCAGCGACGGAGACCTACCACCAAACCCCGTCGATTTCGGCGCTACCTGCATTCGCAAGCGCGACGACGAACCCGCCGCGATCGTTGACAGCAGCGGCGCCGTCCACATCATGACAGACGCTGAAGAAGCACAGCGCAACAGCGACCTCCAGCTCGCCGTCATGGAGAAGATGAAAACCGGCATTATCAGATGCAGCGTGACTTCAGCTGCCGAACAAGGCGCCGCTGCTCCCCCGTCAAAGCCCGACAAATCTCCACTACCGGCCTCCGCAAAACAGAAAAAGTCATCCTTCTGGTCTCTAAGATCGCTCATCTCCAAAGAGAGCTTGGCGAGCCTGAAGCGCCATGCCAAAGAGCTCCAGACTCATTCACCCTCCCATTCTAGGTCTCAGTCCATGTCTCAGGCCGAGTCGCAGCTTCCCCGCAAGAGCACTTCTCTGCTGAGGAAGGTGTCCGTGTTGGACATGGGGAGGCACAGGCCTGTCAGTGCGTCTCGCAGTAAGGACACGGCGGGATTCAATCGCATTGTCGGCTAAGTACCTTGTACTTCGCTTCAAGGATATGCCCTCCCACGGCTCTTGCTTGATGTTCATCCCCTGGCTTGACAGCGTGCGTAATTGTAATGGCTGATTTGTGAACTTTTATTACGGTATTACACAGTATTCTTTCCCGACAGCAACTTGCTTGTGACTTGTTCTTTGCGATCTGTTTTAGATGTTTGCGTCGGCTCGACGCGACTATGGCTATTCATGAATCTGCTGCATGTGGTGGACGGGAAGCGTTTACGTTCTGTATGGCTACTACGAATTACTTTAAGAGCAAACACGAAACCGAATGAACTATACCATATCTATTGGTATCAATCTCCAACTTGTCTCATCTCATCCCAAGTACATCGTCTCCCGTCATCCAATCGAGTAAACCGTAACAACGTAACAGAAAGAAAAAGAAAAAAAAAAACGACCAAGTCATCATCCATCATTTCGTAACCATCAGGATGGGACTGTCTACAATCCCAGCCAGTAGCGCGTCTTCCCGACCTCAAACGAAGACTTGAGCACCTCGTCGCCCGTACCCGTCACCAGCACCTCGTAGGTCCCCTTCTCCGAGGCCCACTTCTCACGCTGCTCATCCCACCAGCTCGTCGCCAGTTTCTTCTCCACCACGATCTCGACCTTCTTCGTCTCACCGGGTTGCAAGAAGACCTTGGCGAAGCCCTTGAGTTCCCGCACGGGGCGGTTCACGCCCGTCGGCGGCGGAGCCACCCACAGCTGAACGATCTCGGCGCCGGCCACGCTGCCTATATTAGTCACAGAAAGGGTAGCAGTGATGGGCTCGCCGTCTTCCAGCTGGGGTTTCTCGGGGGTAGTGGCGAGGGACAGATCGGAGCGGGAGAAGGTCGTGTAGGAGAGGCCATGGCCAAAGGGGAAGAGCGGGGCCAGATCCACCTTCTCGTAGTAGCGGTATCCGACGTAGACGTCCTCGCCGTAGAGGACGCGGCCGCACTCGGAGCGGAAGTTCAGATAGGACGGGTTATCCTGGAGACGGACGGGGAAGGACAGCGGGAGCTTGGCGGCGGGGTTGACGGCGCCGTAGAGCACGTCGGCGATGCCGTTGCCGCATTCGTTGCCGCCGAACCAGGCCTGGAGGAGGGCCTTGGCTTTGTGGGCCCACGGCATGGTGACGGGCGTGCCGCTCTGGATGACGACCACTGCGTTGGGGTTTGCGTCGAGCACGCGGCTGATCATCTCGTCGCTGCCGGGGGGAGATCCATGTGGTCGCGGTCGTGGCCCTCCGTCTCCCATTCGCTGGCGAGACCGGCGAAGATGACGACCTGGGAGGCTTGGGAGGCGAGCTGCGCGGCCGTGGAGATGAGTTCCTCCTGGCTGACGCGGCGGGCGGCGCCGAAGCGGAAGCCGCCGGGCCCGAAGATGACGACGCCGCGCATGTCGAGGTCGGAGGTTGGGGCGGTGCCGAATTGCAGGACGACCTTGTAGGTCTGGCCGGCCTTGAGTTCCTTGGAGCCTTTCTCTTCGACGGTGGCGGTGCCGAACATGGCGGTGCCC